TAAATATCCATTTTTATTTGGCTTAGTCGGCCTACACCACACAGGGTCTTTATTTCACTATCCACGATTTTGAGTATTTGTAACCTAAGCTAGCTTCAATGTGAATTTTGAAGTGCTATGTAATCTTCAAGCAAATCAAATGGAAACATCAAAATGATATTGAGAATATACAAGATGATATGAAACTGGAAGAGTAGTATTAGGAGGATACAGGAGTAAAAAAAATCTACCATGTAGTATTAAACCAATGCTTTATTGACACGTGTCCATAGTGGGTCCTATTAACGGATTCCATTCAAAAATCCGTTAGGAGGTGGTGAAATCCAATTTTTTGGTTTTTTTGTCGTGTTATAATAAAATTTTGAAATTGTGTGGTGTTACAACCCATTTTGTGACTTTTTTGTGGTGTTATTTTGCAAAATATCCTAATTGTTATAGATAGTTTTTAGGTTCATGAATGATAGAATTATTATTTTATTAGTGCTTGAATCAGGGAATATAATTTGTGACTACTATATATGTAGAAAGCATATACCTTCACAAACAAAATAAAAAATAGCTATAACCTCAATTGAATACTTATTAGCTTGTTACATTGTGAGCATCTGGTTTACTTAGACAAAATATAAACAGTATATGGCCTATTTTTGTTATATATATTTTTTTTTTATCAGGCAGTCAACTACAGGTCTTCCAAAAACAAATAAAATATAATACGATAATACAGTATATGAATTGAAAGCTAATTATGCATTGCCTTGAATAACAAAGTTACTACTAGCAACCTTCCTATCAAGGGAAAACTTTAATACTTGGTTTCCTGCAAATTTTGACTAATTATTCCATAAGAATAAGGCTGTCTGCCAAAACATGATCAAATATCAATACATCTTTGTTGCTTCGATTGCAAGGATGATGTATGCAAAATTGTGAAAAAAACGACTTTTTTTTTTAGGAAAATGTTATACATAAGACAATAAGACGTAACTCTTAGGACTACATATAAGGAGCTAAAAAATGGAAAAAAAATAAATATATAATATTAATTACACTGATTTTCGCGTGATTTTGTCATGCATATCTAAATTAATACTAATTTAGGAAAGATATTAAATGTTTATTATTAATCCTAAGAAGTACATATAGCATTGCTCTTTTTTTAAATATCAATTCAACTTTTGATGAAAATAATGAAGTATGTTTAAAATATATACGGTCGTATAAGATTATTGCACCACTCGACAAGGCCACCTAATACCAATAAAATTATACTCGTATTCCGTATGTTGAAAGCTTATTGAATTTGTATGTAAATTGACACTCCTCCGACATGCATATCTATTTACTATCTAGGGCTTTAGGGCCTTAGGCTATGTTTGTTACAGTACTCATCATTCTGCATATGATGACGTGACATACATAATAGAATTGCGCTAATAAAAATGAAGCAACATAGAATTGAAATAAATGGGTTGTTGATCTTGATCATACTCCGTAATAAAGTTAAGATTTGCTGGGCACGCAACACTGCTGCATTACAATCTAACGCTAACACGCGTGAAATGCATGAAATTCCCCCGCAATAAAGCAAAAAGATTATGCAACGAACAAAAAGAGGAAATACTTTGATTTATCCCCAACTTTGTTGGCTGCCTCCCCAACGCTTATTTTTTCTAAAAATTTCATGCACTGCTCACTTCATTTTTCAGTTATAGTAAGAAGAAAAAAAATAATGCATAAAATATTAGCGAAAAATATGAATAACCTTATATTCCAATGATTTTAATTATTACATAATATAGAATACAGTATAAATTTAATATATTATGAACGTAACATTATAAATAATTCAAAATGAAAATAAAATGCTAAATACAGGCCAATCAGATTTCGCCACGTAGCATATTGTGGTGCCTTTTTCGAGAAATGAGATTGTAGAAGTTTTAGTATATTCCATATTTATTTTTGGAATTGTAGACCATTTATTTAATTTGTTCATGCTTTAATTTAATTAATTTGTATTCCTAGATGCTTCAATAGTACTATAGTAGGATAATTATTTTTAATCAAAAATTAGATGCTCTACTAAAATGCATAGGGTTTTGGGTAAATTGGTAATGAATTATTGATTAATAATATTTAAAAAAAAAAAAAAAAAAAAAAAAAAGGAAAAAAAGAGCTGTTTAAAAATCCCTAACATGAAATAGATCAGAGCACAGATTATGCTCCATCTGGAAAAAATGAAAGCATCAGCATACCTTTTGGATGTAGCACCTTAATTAAAGGATAAAAGATGCTTCTAAAAGAATGTTTAAAAAAGCTGAACATATTATTAACTACCTTAGGTTAATAATGAAAAGCTATAGGTTAAATTGTGACCACTTTGACAATTTCCCTTAATTATGAACCGTTGGGCTGGAAAGAGCACCAAATTCTCTGTATGTAACAAGTACTCTTATTTATTAACCTTCTTGAGACGTTAAGTCAATTCTCAATGGTGTTGAATTATGTCGCTTTTTAAATAATTTGACAACTCCAGCTTGATTATGATAAAAGATACTGTAAATATTAAGACAGGTTGACATTTTTTTTTTTAGCACGAGTACATTTAAATAACAGAATTCTAGATTGTAATATACGAGTACTAATGCAGTAATATTGTATCAATGCTACTTGACAAAATAATTCTTTTTATTTTATTTTACTTTAAATGTTATATGAACTATTATAGGCCGGTTTTCAAAAAAAAAAAAAAAAAAAAAAAAAAAAAAAACTATTATGGGCCGGGAATAAATATATTAGAAAATTAATTAATAGCTATAACAACATACATTTGATGCAAAGAACTATCAGTTATTATAAGTTAAGTGAATTACCATTCGTTCTCTCAAAACAAAAAAAAAGAAAAAAAAAAAAAAGTTAAGTGAATTAATTGTTTGAATACTTCATAATTCATACTCGATCTGTAACTTTTACTTTAAGACAATAATCTCATTGGTGTATATTTCGGTATATATTATTTAGTACGGCCTCGTTTGATACGGAGTAATCACCCTATGGCTAGTAGTTGGTTACTATATATGTCTGATTGTATTAACTTATTGAATAGCTAACACTATCAACTGTCGTAATAATTGGTCAAAGACTTAGAAAAAGATGGTTGAGCACATGCCTTATAAAACTCCAACAAGCTGTTTTTTAATTAATCACCTATTGTCCAACCATAAAATCTATCTGATTATTGTCAAAAAAAAAAAGAAATCTATCTGATTTGTATTTGTAAACCATCTAATTTATAATTGCTCTCAAAAAGCTAAAATCTTATTTATTTAATCATCTCTTTATCATATATACAAGGCTTAAAGTGAATCATCAACTTGGAGCTCAATATATATAGTTATATGCTCTATAATATAAATATAAATATAGCAATGCATATTTTCCCTGTAAACTCTTCTTCTGTAAGACTCTTGGCTTGGCTTGTCTTAATCCGTATTGATTAAGCATCCTGTATATATATTATAGCCAACTGGGAAGCAAGGAATTGCATAATAATGCTCAATTCGATGTTATTCCTCATCAAGAGATGATCAAGCTAAAAAGAGATATTATTCCAAATAATAAATAATCTTTATTACGGACTACTTTTGACCAACATCAATTACATTACATATCCAATTAACCATTAAAATCTGGATCAAGATGACCAAGGAATAATTGAATTGAAGTTAGTGGAAAATTACACGAAACATTAATTACCCACTGTAAGTTCTAAGTTGTCGCAATTGTACCAGTAACCATTTAAAATCAAGATTTATCCTCTAAAAAGTATAACTAAATCTTAAAAACAAATAAAATTAGATGTAAACTGGTACTACGTAAAAGCGAATGTTCGTTGTGGATTTCAAAAGCTCGTCGCCGACCATAATGTAAAGTTATTATGAACCATATATATATATAGAGGTGTTCCGCCATATTCCCAAGTTTCCTCATGTTTTCAAAGATTCATCGGTTCATCAGATCAGAAGATAGATAACTCCATACCTAGGATTATAGAATTTTCATTGCTCACAAACATGACGTACTAAACTATTCTCTAATTGCTACCATCACATGCATTATTCTTCTATGTCAAATTAAATGTCTTAGTTTGATTTTTGCATTATTCACGTATCGTTTTGACAATATTTGTGATTTTTACCTAAGTTTAAATGTAGTTATGTGGAATCTCAATGTAATTAATCGATTGAATATCAACTACTTCATATTTAATAATTATATTTATTGATGCTTAAAAACATTATTTGTTAAAGTTCAGCATCAACCACATATGTGTCGGTCAAATTGAAATCTTCGTATTTATTTTATACCTGAATAGAGGAAGTACATGTATATAGGACTAATAGGAGCATATGTTCTTTTTTTAATTTGGTAATTTGTAGTAAATGGTTTGACGGTTTTGTTTATTATTGAGAGTACGTATGGCTGCAGCTAGAAGGCTTTGCCAAGTCATTGGAGTTTGTTACAACTCTGCCAGCTCAGCTAAAGTAGTTACAACAACCTTCCTTAGTTTGTTATAAGCTTATTCTAGAATCTTCTCTTGTAATGAAGTCATATATAAGCTATCCTCTGCTGTACTATTGATTATTCAATCATAATAAAATTTCTCAGATTCTAATTAGATTTTGGAGCATTTTCTCTAGTTTTTCTTCAGAAACTTTCATGGTATCAGAGCAGAAGATCTTGCTCTTGTACTGGTTTAATCTGAATTTCCTCTTTGCAATCGCTTTCCCTTTGTTTTCTTCTTCTGAAATCTTCATTGATATTCAGGAAATTTCTCCTGATTCGATTCAATTTCTTCTTTCCTAAATCAATTTGGTTTTGATTCTAATTTTTTCATAATCTGATAGTCAAATCTATCACTATTTCATTGAGTTTTTTCATTTGATCTACGAATTTCTCTCTTAAATTTGTTTTGATTACTTGCAAAACAAACAATAATGGCAGAAAACACTTTGAACAATGCTAATCTTCCTCTGAATCAAAATCCAGCTAGCATTTACTATATTCATCCTTCTGATGCTAACTCAATACAGCTTGTTTCATTCAAATTCAATGGAGATGGCTTCACAAGTTGGAAGAGAGCTATGTTGTTGATGCTTTCACCAAAGAACAAAGCAGGCTTCGTTAATGGTAACTACACCAAACCGGTTGATGAAACAAGTCTAGAACACAAAGCTTGGGAGAGATGCAATGATTTGGTGTGTTCTTGGTTGCTGTTCAACCTTTGATGAAAGCATTGTTGCTAGTGTGATGTTCTTGAGATCAACAAGGGAAGTCTGGCTCGATCTGGAAGAGAGGTATGGATACACTTCTTTAGCTCAAATTTATGCCTTAGAATAGAAATTAGTTGAAATCATTCAAGGAGACCAATCTGTTTCAGAATTTTTCACTTCTATTAAGTCTGTTTGGGATGCTATTGATGAAGCAAATCCACTTCCTTATTGCACTTGCAACAATTACACATGTAACTTGACTAAGAAGATATTTGAGAGGCATCAGGCAAAAATGGTGATCCAATTCATGATGAAATTATCTGATAAATTTGGAAAAATTAGAGGAAATATGCTCATGATGCCTACTTTGCCTAAAATCACAGAAGCATATAGAATGTTTGCTCAAGAGGAGAAACATAGAGAAATTGCTCAGCTGAGTAATAATCCTGAGTCAATGGCTTTTTTAGCTGAGAAGAGGAAGTTTAGTAATGCTGGCCTGAATAATTCTTTCAAGACTTATTGATCAGGAAACTTTCAGAAGCAAAACAATTATTCTCAGTTCAGGAATTTTGCAGGAGAACAGAAGATAGATAAGCCTGGATCGAGATACTATTGCACTCATTGTGAGATACCCGGACACAGCATTCACAGGTGTTTCAAGCTTAAAGGATTTCCTCCAAGCTTCAAAGGATTCAAAGATAAGAGAGTTGCTGCAATGAGCTTCAGTGAAACTGAAGATATGGATGAACAGCTTGCCAAGCCTATCACTGTAGCACAATACAATCAGATAATGACAGCTTTTGCAACTCTGAATAGAACTGATTCCAAGGCCGAGAGCTCTAAGAGTATGGTTATGATGGTAGGTAATATCTGTTTCTTATCTTGTTCAGATTCTAAATGGCTGCTGGATAGTGGTGCAACTGACCACATATGTTCTGATATAAAAATTTTCATTGAGTATAAGGTTGCATCTAATATGACTAAATACATAACTATTCTTGATGGCAGTAGGGTATTGGTCAAACATATAGGTGTTGTTAAGCTGAATAATGACATTTTCCTGCATAATGTCTTGCATGTACCAGATTTTAAGTTCAATCTTATATCTATGCACAAATTATGCAAGGATTTGATGTGTGAGTTACATTTCACTCATGATAGGTGTTTTGTGCACACACAAAGAGGTCAATCGATTCCTCTTGGTAGTTTGAGTGCTGGATTGTACAAATTTCAAAAGGATCGGGACACTGGTGTTAGCAGTTCTGTGCATGCTGGAAGTAGAGTATGTTTGGCTGCTGTTGAAGATGCTAAACTTTGGCATTTGAGATTAGGTTATCTATCTTTCAACCAACTTAAGATAGTGAAACCCGACTGTGATGTAAAAGCTTGCTTGAATGACACAATCTGTCAAGTGTGTCCTACAGCTAAGCAAACTAGATTACCCTTTTTTATTAGTTCAATAAAGACTTCAGCACCTTTTGATCTTGTTCATATTGACGTTTAGGGCCCACATTCTGTAAAAACACTTAGTGGTTGTAACCAATTTTTGACACTTATTGATGACTATTCCAGATTCACCTGGGTGCATTTAATGAAGAATAAGACTGAATCTGTTCATATTATGTCTGATTTCATAGCTATGATTTCCACTTAGTTTGATTCAAAAATCAAGGTTATAAGATCAAATAATGCTCAAGATTTGTGTGAAGATGATATGAAGATTATGCTTAATTAATCTGGTATTTTGCACCAAACTAGCTGTAGTGATACTCCACAGCAGAATGGGAGAGGAAACATAGACACATTTTAGAGACTGCCCGAGCTCTTTACATATAGTCTAGGGTGCCTGATAGATTTTGGGGTGACTGTGGTCTTTGTGCAGTTTACTTGATCAATAGAATGCCCTTAAAAGTAATTGGTAATGATATTCCTTTCAAGAGGTTAAAAGGTTTCACACTAGATTTGACACACTTGAGAGCTTTAGGATGTTTGTGTTTTGATTCAACTTTGAAAGTTCATAGAATTAAATTGAATGACAGGGCTGAACCTTGTGTATTTTTGGGGTACTCAGTAAGTCAAAAAGGTTACAAAATTCTTGAGCTTACTTCTAAAAGGGTTAAAATTACTAGAAATGTTGTTTTCCATGAGAAACATTTCCAATACCACCTTTTTCATATTAATCAGAATCCTAATTATTCTACGATAGCCAATGCCATTTACTTACCAGTTTATACCCCCACTCATTTTCTAAATGATGACAGTTCTTATTCCGATTCTGTCTTTCCTTCTCATGATAACTATACTAAACCTTCCTCTCCTTCTTCTTCTTCTTCTTCTTCTTCTTCTTCTTCTTCTTCTTCTTCTTCTTCTTCTTCTTCTTCTTCTTCTTCTTCTTCTTCCTCCACCACAAATCATTTTTCTAATCTTGACGATAATTCTTCCATTTTTCCTCCACCAAACCTTCCCATTCCTGAATCTTTGTCTTGTACTCAGAATGCTTATCTTGTTCTAGCTGAGCAACAGGTTCACAGACAATCTTCTATACCACATAAATTCCCTTCTCATTTTGACATTTATCATTGTTATTCTGCTTTATACACTTAACCACATGAAGCTACAGATACTGATACAGAACACTGGTGCAATCTGGTGATCTATGACAATTTTCCTGATAATCATAAGTGTTTTATTGCTCACACTTGTGACGACATTCATGAACCTCTCAACTATGCTCAAGCTGTTAAAGATCCTCTATGGGTAGAAGCTATGCAAAAGGATATTGATGCTCTTGTCAAGAATGGCACTTGGATTCTGGTTGACTTGCCTAAGGGAAAAGAAGGCTACTGGTTATAAGTGGGTTTACAAGGTCAAATTGAAAGCTAATGGTGAACTAGAGAGATGCAAGGCAAGATTAGTTGCCAAAGGTTTCAGTCAAAAGTATGGAATTGATTATGAAGAGACCTTCAGCCCAGGCCAGTTGTGAAGATGAATACAGTGAAATGCTTGATTACTACAGCAGCCAGCAAAGGTTGGGATTTGTTCCAACTTGATGTAAATAATGCGTTTTTACATGGATATTTGAAAGAAGAAGTCTATATGAAGGTTCCCGAGGATTTGATAATCCTGGTAAAAAGGTTTGCAGACTCAAGAAGTCAATTTATGGCCTCAAACAGGCCTCAAGACAATGGTTTGAGAAATTGGTAGCTACCTTGATTAAAATGAGCTTTGAACAGTCTAAAAATGATTATAGTCTCTTCATCAAGAGAAGAAATGATCTGATTTGTGTGGCAGCAGTCTATGTGGATGATATCATCCTTACAGGAACTAATTTTGAAGCTATGGAGTGTCTTAAGACTGAACTGCATAACTTGTTCAGCATCAAAGACCTAGGAAAATTTAATTATTTTCTGGGAATTGAGGTTGTCTATTCCGATGCTGGCATTCTGTTAAGTCAGAAAAAGTTTACAAGGGAGTTAATTCATGATTGTTGTTTGCCCTTGAAGAATAGAGTTGTCACACCTCTTCCTCTTGGTTTAAAATTACAGCAACAAGTTGGTGAACCCTTGCCAAGTACAGAGTTATATAGGTCTCTTGTTGGGAAGCTGAACTTCTTGACCCGTACAAGACCTGACCTATCCTTTGTTGTTTAGTCTCTAAGTCAATTCATGCAGCAACCTTATACCTCACATTTACAGGCTCTCATACACACTCTGAGTTATGTAGCTCAGACAGAAGGTCAAGGCATCTTGCTCAAAGCTTTGCCGGAAATCTCTTTACATGCCTTTTCTGATTCAGATTGGGCAAGCTGTGCAGACACCAGGAAATCTATTACTGGTTATGTATTGCTTCTTGGCAAATCACCAATTGCTTGGAAATCCAAGAAACAAAGTCTGGTGTCTAAATCATCTGTTGAGGCAGAATATTGAGCAATGGTTGCAGCAGCCTCAGAAGCAACATGGACAGTGAGGTTATTAGAAGAGTTGGGTGTCACCAACTTGAAGCCTGTCACATTATACTGTGATAATCAGTCTACTTTACATATTGCTTGTAATTCTGTGTTTCATGAGCGCACAAAGCACATTGAGATAGGCTGTCACTTTACAAGAGATAAAGTGTTGGAAGGTCTGATACAATTGGCTTTTCTTCCTACAGAAGCTCAACTAGCTGATTTGTTCACCAAAACTGTACCATCACCACGGTTACAGGCTCTTTTGCCCAAGTTGGGAATGAATTCTCCATCTCCCAACTTGAAGGGGGAGGGGTATTGGGAGTATGGCTACAGTTAGAAAGCCTTGCCAAGTCATCAGAGTTTGTTACAACTCTGCCAGCTTAGCTAAAGTTGTTACAACAACCTTCCTTAGTTTGTTATAAGCTTTTTTCTAGAATCTTCTCTTGTAATGATGAAGTCATATATAAGCTATCCTCTGCTGTACTATTTGATTATTCAATCATAATAAAATTTCTCAGATTCTAATTAAATTTTGGAGCATTTTCTCTAGTTTTTCTTCAGAAACTTTCATTTACACGGAGTATAAAAATATTGTGGTTGAGGATGTATTATTTTTAGAGGATAGACCTTCCTAATTTGTACTCGGTTATCTATATATTTATTGGTTCCAAGCTTGCATAAAACAGGTGGAGGAGAGGGAACACACTAAGCTAGGGGAATTTTTTTAAAGTATGTTCGCTAACTTTTTTGAAAGAAAGAAAGAAAGAAAAAGCTAACTAATTTAGAGTTAGCTTCTTCTTCTTCTTCTTCTTTTTTTTTTTTTTTTTTTTTTTTTATACAAGAGATTTAGAGTTAGATATATATGATAGTTAGCGAACATACAGTCATACAGTTATACACGTTGAAGCTCATTTCGTAAGGAGAGCTAAAAAAAAACAAAAAAAGAAAAAGAAAAAAAGGGTAAATTCTGGCCATTATCCTCTTACTCTTATCTAAGATAAGGTGGTCAACAGACTGGTCAATTATCAAATTATCAATTACCAGAATCATTCTTCGCTTTCAAAAGTTTTATTTGACCAACTATATAATTATATGAATATGCTTTTGGATGTCTATCTATAATTGCCCGATTATGCACAATTTATTTATGTGCTGCAAAATCTAGCTATAACTCTATAAGCTATATATACTTCATACATATTATTGTTATACGTAGTATTTTTTTTTTTTTTGAAAGAATACGTAGTATTATTTTAAGATGCTTCAACTCATAGATGACATGGCACTTATGCGTTATGCATGCATATTGCATAGCGCGCACTATGTATTACATATTCTACGTCTTACAAACTTTACTGACTTTATATACTCCGTAATTCCGTATGTCTAATGTCTTACGTTATTAAAATGTAATAATGCCAACATTAAAATATTATTACACTGCCTGTAATTAATCTATATTCTTATAAGCGGTACTGTATTATTTATTTTATTTTATTGGATAAGGAAAGGTTAAAAAATAATAGGGGACTACCTGGCCTATATATAAACTTTACAAACCTCTTAGGCTAATGTAGGAAGTAATAAGCTAAAATAGCACAAACATACACCAAAAAGTAGTGTATCGTAATTATTACAAGATTACAGATAAGATTATATGTACTGATCACAAAAACGATCAATTTTAAATTTCATTTAACTTCTTAGGCCCTATTTAGTTTACCTTATTTTTGCTTATCTGATCTGATCTAATTTGATCTGGTCTGATTTGATCTAATCTGATCTTATTGTCTGATCTGACCAAACTTTGACCTTAAGTGTACGATAATCTGTAATGAAAAAACATATCAAGTGGGATCTTGTTAGATTCGTAATAATGTGTATTTTATTAATATGTAATTTTCATAATTTTTTTATTACGAAATTAAAGATATTTAGCGATAAAAAATTGCACATAAAATGATGATCATATGTGAACTTATTTTTTCTGATTTAATCTGATCTGAACTTATTTTTCTTTATCTGATCTGATCTGAACTTATTTTTTCTAAAATAAGTAAAAATAAGTTGACCTAAACAAGGCTTATTTTCAGCTTCTGCTATCAAACATAGTATAAAAAAAAATAAAAAAATAAAAAATAAAAAAAATAAAAAAAATAAAAAAAGAAAGAAAAAACCACTATGGAATACTTGTATGCCAATGTAATGGTACAAGAGTGGCGAAGTTTATAAAAATTTGCAAGAGGAAAACACCACCTTAGACCTAACTAATAGTGATAATCAAGGTTTTAAGTTTATATTACAATTAACTTAAGCTTTTGATTGAATATTTCAGACATGGTATGAAGAGTCAATATGACAAGAAGGTCACGAGTTCAAATCTCATACATTCCTTCTTTCTAGTGGAATATTAATTAAGTACAGTTGTATAGGGTATGGAGAGAGCCAAGTTGTATCCACATTTCAAACCTAAAAGACTTTAATGTGAGGGTGTGTAATAGAGTACTATAACTAATTTTGAATTATTTCAACCATATTAGCTTAAATTATATTTTTGGTTGAGTTCTTTGATCATCTTATACTTCCATAATAAAACAAAAATAATTGGTTAAATATCGAAAAAGGGAGTATTAACTTTGTTTCATTGCTGTAAACTCGAGTGGTCTTAATCTTATGACTATTGGTTTCCTTCTTCTTTGTATTCAAAATAAATGAAGTGTTGAATTTCTTTTGACTATAAAATATATATTCGATCTTCTATTCATTAGTATACTACGGCCTGTTACAATATTACAGCTAGCATATGGAATATATTCTGCAATGCAGGAAACTAATAGTGAGTAGTCACTAAATAAAAGTTGTTTTTTCTAGTCAAGCTTATTATCTTAACAATAAATGTGCGTGCTTTTATCCTGATTCCTTGGTTAATAGCACCTCTTTGTCACTACTATATATCCCATGTAATGCATGTCCGTACTAACTTAGGATCTCGACTATATATAAAGATAACCCGCATATCATTCTTGCATTCTTCCAAGCTAATTAATCTTCTGAACCATATATTTATTCTCCTAATATACACAAAAAAAATTCCATCTTAACTCCTTCGTATAAGTCACTTATAAACATATATATCCGATCCAGGTCGATCGATCCTAACATGGAGTATCAAAAGAGTTCATCAAGCTCTAATGATACATACTATACGAATGAAAGGTGGGAATCAATGATTAGGGTTAGGGACGAGGAAGATGAGCTTCTAAACAATGGATTGCGAAAAGGTCCATGGAGTCCTGAAGAGGACTCGAAGCTTTCCTCGGCCATTGCTACCCATGGTGTAGGCCGCTGGAACACTCTTGCTGTTTTCGCAGGTAATTTGTTGAAAATTATTATGTACTAGTGTACTGCTATTATATTTGGCAAATAATCTTGTTTCATTCTGTTACATATCTACTGTACGTACGTAAACTTTATAGATGAATATAAGCTTGATATATACTCCGTACTAGCTGGGGTACGTCAATTGTTAGTGCAGATTAATAGAAACGTAAAGATTTGCTTATCCTAAGCTAGAATCGTCATGTCTATTAGAGAATACTAGAATATATAGTTTAGTGATCAAAGCTGAGTGAAGTAGCAGATTCGTTTTTTTTTTCCATATATAGCTCAATTTGACATGATTTATTGACTTGCACGAATCCACAGGGCTCAAGCGATCAGGCAAAAGTTGTAGGTTAAGGTGGCTAAATTATTTACGTCCAGACCTACGTCGTGGTACTTTTACCCTCGACGAACAGCTACGCATTCTTGAGCTTCACTTTAGTTGGGGCAACAGGTATGCAACAATCCATGCATCCGTCGTCTATATAATTGTGCTAGAAATTTCTATGTCAATAATAATGTTGTGGTATTGCTTCTATCATACCTACTTGACCTATACCTTGGGGCATAGTATGTTGCACTACCTACCATTACACTAATTTATCTATATATATATGGGGATTTTCTTGTAAAAATAAAAAAATGCTTGTTACAATAATATCCCTTACTAATTGACTCGGAAAACTTGCCCAAAAACTTAAGGCATATAATAGTGTTGACACATATTTTATGTAATGTGTAGGTGGTCAAAGATAGCTGAACATCTACCAGGAAGAACAGATAATGAAATAAAGAACTATTGGAGAACCAAGGTTCAAAAGCTTGCTAGGCAGTTTCAATGCCACGTTAATAGCCCTCAATTCAGAAATGCTTTACGAAACATTTGGATTCCGAGGTTAGTTGAACAAATTCAGGCTGGTGCTACTACATCATCAAACACTACAAAAGCCCAAATTCACGGCCCAACTTATGACTCTGGAAATGGGCTTCTTGATGGATTCTACTGTAGCAGCAGCACTAGCTCAGATAATTGCTGTTTCTTTGATACACCTTTATCATGGGCTCAAAACTCTTATATAGTTGGGCCGGAAGAACTGTGTCCAAAGCCCAATGTCTCAACAGATTCAAGCGAGGCCCATATTTCACCTGTGTCCGGTTCATCCGTTGAATTGGATCAAAACTGGGATCAGATCAATGACTATTTAAGGGAGATGACCCTAAATGATGAGGATAATATGTTATTTTGGGAAACCTTGCATAATTAAACACTTGAAAACATCTGATGATCATAAGATACAGCAATTTGTAAAAACAACACTTTTGTTTTTACAACTTAGTCATAGTACTATATACGAAGTATATAGTTTAATATAAGAAGTATTAATTAGACAAGTTAGAGAGATAATATAATAAATAAGCTAAGGGATAAGGATCCTTACTAGTTACCACAGCATAATTTGTAATTTTACATTATATTATAATATAGGTACTTTGTATGTAAGAAAGAAACTTTGCAATCTGTATAAATTAATTAAGCTTATAAAGAGTTTTATAGATGAACCAAACATACTTCATTTTATTATCTAAACAATTTCAAACAAATACTGATGAACAAATCTTAGACAAATTAGAAGTTTATACAAGATGCATGCAGCAAGATAGCATTTCAACACCGACAATTGACAACTGATGACAAGCAATGGTGTGCATATATCACAATTAAGTTGCATATATGGGACATACGATGGGGTAGCTTACACATGCAGCGCTACATGCATCACGATACCTTAGAGTATAACTTTTGAATTTGGAGCTAATGTTGTTCTTCATCATCATCAACCACAACAACAACAAAAGTCAAATGTTGGAGACAAGCAAAAAATAATGGGCTACAGTTAATTTGGCCAATGGTATATGCATCGTCCTGTCCTGACTATATTATTGATCAAGACCTAATCTTATAAGTGAACCATGCAAACTTAGAAAATGTTCGGATTGAAAAATATTTTGGTATGAATGACTATATATATCAAGAAAAATGTGCAATTAAAGTTTGATATAGTGTGACCTCCAAAGGGCAAATGCCGCAACTAATAATAACCAGAAGAATTAGTAAGACAGCGATTCACCAGCACCTGGCCTTATTGATTTTCAATATCGACAATGTGTAATGGTTGTCTTCAGAATTATTAGAAAGTACATACATTTTAATTACTCATTTTAATTTAGTTCATTAATTTTGTAAATCTATCAAACAACAAACATTAGTAAAATCAATCACATATACTTTATTTGCTAATAACTTATGTCTAATTAATTGAAGAGATCAAACATGAAGTATGCTAATTGCTCCCCCCACCCCGACATATGGGCCTTCTAGCCTTATTTAATTTTACTTTTAATATGTTGCACCATAGTGATTAATTTTGAGCGAAAGGTTAGAAATTTCACACATGACCTTTTAAATATTTTTAGTCAAGATCCACCACTGCGTGCCCTTAAGAAATAAACATATGGAATGCATACACATTCATGATGAAGTAAACATGACACAAAACATGATGTTAACTCCATCCACCTTTTTTGGAGGACCTACAAGACTTGAGTATAGCTGGAAGGAACTGAAAATAAATAGACCATTTGAGTTGTGTGGTTGGTTTATACACATTGATCAGGGGTCCATATAAAACTAGTGCACCTTAAAATGTATATGTAGATATGATTGCTACTATATAAATATAAATAAATATACATTTGTATAAATACAAAAATAAATATAATGCAAGCACCTTAGCATAAAGTAGATATTATATTAGTACTTCTTAATATAGATATAGTGCATATGATCCCTTCATCTCACACTGCTTCCACTTACCAACAACATTATTTTCATGGCTCCAAAAAAACTCCACATCTTTCCTCTTTTCCCTCTCTTTATTCTATCTCTACTACGCCATATCATTATTGCACGGGGAGATGCAACTTCACTGCAAGAGTATGAGACCTGGTTATTATGGAATGTCCAAAACCACCATTTGAGGAGGCTAACCCTAGCTAATCCACAGCCAAACGACGCCGGTGCATCGGGGGCTCCAACCAAGACTTTAGATGTGAGGCTGGAAAATGCTGAGATTAATAAAGTAAGATGGACCATCAATCTAAATGGAACAGGTGATTACAAAACCATCACTGAAGCTATTGACAGTGTTCCAATACGTAACACTAGGAGACTTATCTTACATATCATGCCTGGTGTTTATAGGTAAGAAATTTATATATAGACTGAATAATTACCACGTATATCTTTCTTATTATACATATGCAAGTACAACGAACTACTTCGTAAATAACTATATTTTTGTTAATTTGATCAATTTTAATTGATGATTTAAACCTCTTTGCTGTATTAGCATAATTTGGGTAAATGATTGACCAAAATAATACCCTAACTATATATTATGCATGTAATTAAAATAAAAAAAGAAGCACATTCTAACCCCATTGGCTTCCGTAGTTTATTAACTTCATATATTATGGTAATGTGGTAGGACAATGTTGTTGCATTTTGCCATTTTGCGGATAATGCATACTTCATACTGTATTGTTTTGCACTTATGCATGTATTCTTTGCATGTACCTAATTATTAGTTAATGGACAAAAGAAACACTTATAGTGATTCATTTAATACTACTATTAATTACTAAAATAAAGAAATTAAACAACGTGACATATATGATTAAAGGGAGAAGATACACATCCCTAAAACAAAGCCATTCATAACCTTTATGGGAGACCCAGATAACCCACCCATCATAACCGGGAATGACTCGGCCTCGGCAACCCGAGGAGATGGCACGCCCTTGAGCACCTTCCAGAGTGCTACCGTTGCTGTGGATGCTGATTATTTCATAGCCTACAATATAATATTTGAGGTATGTAACGACTTACTGTATAATACGAAATCTCCTATATATTTTATTAATATGCATTTTTTTCTAATTACTTGTAGTAAAAGTTGATAAAATGTAAATAATGACTTAGTTATATTATTATTGAATGGACAATATGTACGGACGTGGGTAGAACACGGCACCGCATAATGTAGGTTCGGTGGGGGAGCAAGCAGTGGCACTAAGAATATCAGGCACCAAAGCCTCATTTTATGAATGTAGGTTTTATGGGTCACAAGACACATTATATGATCACAAAGGCCTTCACTATTTCCGCAATTGTTTTATTCAAGGCTCGGTTGATTTCATATTTGGCTATGGAAGATCATTTTACGAGGTCATTACACTTGTTCATTACCAAGTATTATGGCTACTTTATTTTCAGTTTAATTTCCATTTTAATATAGGAAATAACAATGTATTCTACATAGGTTACGTACTTATATATGGTATATGTTGTAACAGAATTGTACATTAAACTCAGTAGCAAAGAAGGTAGCTTCTTTAACGGCCCAAAAGAGGAGTAAAACATCAATGTCAAGTGGATTTTCCTTCAAAGATTGTAAGGTGACTGGAACTGGTAAGGTTTACTTGGGTAGAGCATGGGGTGATTATTCCAGGGTCGTTTACTCTTTCTCTTTCCTCGACAAACTTGTTAATCCTCTTGGCTGGAATAACTGGGGCAAATCTAATCGTGATTCGTAAGTTCTTACATTGTCCTATTTTCTCATAATTTTACCAAATAACTTGAATTGTTTTTTTTTAATAAATATTAATTCATACTTGATTTTACAAAAGATACTAGTGGTTCATGATTGTATCATAATTCATGACCTTTTCAAGTAACGTGACAGCTTTTTTTGAAACATCCTAGCCAAAAACGCCCAACATAGTAGTAGCGATACTAAGTTCTGGTCCAAATTTTAATTTATATGTTAATGTTGAAAATTTAAAAATGCGTAAAGTTGCAAAATAGTGTTGTTATTGTTGACTTGTATATGTACTTTGCAGGATGGTCTACTACGGAGAATACAAATGCATTGGGCCAGGATCCAACATAACGGGCCGTGTATCTTGGGCTCGGGTCCTTACAGACAAAGAGGCTGAGCCCTTCATTGGGACTTATTATGTTGAAGGCGACACTTGGCTAATTAGCCCATCAACGTGATTAAAACGTACAAACTTGATCAACAAGTTTTTATTTCCTTGTTTTACTTTGAAATTGTTCTGCTCATAAGACCTTGAAATGAACATCCATCAAATAATACTTTAATCTTTTACATAATACATACGTAGTATATTATTAATCTCTAACATATATATACTTCAAGTTCTAATATATCAAGTTCACAAGTCACTTTTTATTTCCTATCACATATAATACATTACAACCAATTCGAGTTATATCTGACTTAGATTTCACCTCTAGGTTATTTGTATACTATATATTCTTCTTTTAAAATCGTTTTAAGGTTACGTTATCTCATCGAGTAAAGACTCTTACTACTATATATATATATATGAGTAATATTACCTTTGAAGTTTATAATTAGCTATATTTCCCTTAATTAACTTCAAAATAAAACCACTTACCGCATTGATCAGTCCATTCCATAGCCCTTAATTAAACGTTACTTTTTGGTGTTTAATATGAGCAAAAGCTATAGATAGTGCTAGTACATATCAAATGCTGTGATGAAGCTTTTGAATGCAATATATGTATGTAATGTAACACTCACAAAGAATAGCATATAATATGATATGACATGACATATATAATCAAAGCTTGACCAAAGTGTTTGTTGTGATTTAATTTGCTTCTGCTTATTAATGTGATGTCATTGGGATAGATCGCGCATGCTTATCATCATAACAAAATTAAATCTCAACCACAACTCATATATTGATGTAATACTTCTAGTAAAAGGTTAAGTTAATTAAATTTAACTCAAGAAATATTTTTATAGTGCTTAGCATGTATAGTGATTACGTTAAGGAAATTTATGCAAGTATGATGGATGTGATATTTATAGAATATATATGATGTGAAGGGTCAAAAAAAAGTTTAGTTTAGGACTTAACTTTTTATACTTTATTTGTAGTATACATTTCTAAAATGACAAAGAAACTGGTGGTAAGTTTAAGCACTTTTTAAATTTTTTTTTTTTTTTTTTTGACACAAACTGCAAGCTTAAGCCATTTATTAATTACTATTACGTGTAGTGTTTAAAATGTCTATAAGACCATGATAATAAAAATACAAGTTAAAATTCGATTTTTTTTTTTTTTTTTTTTTTTTTATATGTAACTTCAATTATGAATTTAAAACAAATATAATAAAGGCAACAACTTAATTATATGGTACATTTACTTTTGAAAATGCTAACTCATTCGTACATTAGAATGTGCGGAATTTAAATTTTAATTTTATAAGACTGAATTAGCCTTTCAAATTTAGTATCTTTATTTACGAGTACTGTAACATACGGAGATACGGTGTATAAAAATTGAAAAATCTAAAACTAAAAGTTAAAAATTAAAAAATAAAAAAAT